TTTTTTTTTTTTTTTTTTTTTTTTTTTGATAAATCTCGTCATACATTTTTTTGAGAAATACGAATATTGTAATTGTAAGTTTTGCTTCTTACGCGATATGCCATTTTCGGCCATATTAGTAATAACTGATTACAATGAAATATTATGGCACAAAGGATAATATACCGATCATTTTAAGTATAAAATTTTTAATCAACCGCTGCTCGCGGTATATTCCACTTCCTCATGTTGATCGTGACGAGTTAATAGTTACGAATCTTCAATTTCGATGCTTGAATATATGAATATCGTAAATAAAATATTTATTCCATTTACTTAAGAAAGTCGTTTTTCCTTTCGAAATTTTCAACTTCACTCCAAACTTTCGAACAACGGTGTACTTCTATTTTCGCGATTTGTTTTCTCGTTCTTTTTCGATCGTTCCGATCAAACGACGCAAAGATAGAGGCGAACGAAAACAACAGGTAGAAAGAAAGAACAGAAAACGACGATTATTATTGTGAACAAGTTATTTGCTCAGTGCCCTCCCCCCCCAACTTAAGGCGCTTGAAAGGTAATAATGTGTGTATGTGTGTGTGGGTGTGTGTATGTGTGTCTGTAAATGTATGTGTCACGAGGTCCCTAACGGTTATATTTACACTCGAAGCACTCGAAGCTGTCACTCTTACGGTTTACCTTTAACATTCTACGGTGGCGACGATTAAACACTAAATATACATAGGTAGGTTTCCGATCGTTGTTAGATGCTACGCGTGTGTGTATCCCTCCCCCGTTCGCTGAGGGAACGAGAATGTCGTTCCAATAAGGGGATTTTTCGTCGAATCTTTCGTTTGAGGAACGATCTTCGCGCGAAACGTTCGTCCCCTCGTACGCCCGACAGCGTATAGTGTATATCGAGTAAAAGACTCGAGGTAAATCGAAAATATACTTTGCAAGCGTTCTGTACGTAGAATTGCTTTCGAGAATCGTTCGTGTAACAAAACAGAACAGTACAGCGTCGAGAGAGAAAAAGAGAGAGGGAGATAGATATTCAACGAAGAGCTTGTGAAAGTCGCGTGAACGCGCGAGATTCGTCAAAGTGTGCCACTATCGTTCACGTCCCGCGGCTGCCTTCATCGTCCCGTTCTCTTCCAACCTTTACTATTATAGCATTAGTTTCCTTAATATATCACAATGTGGTCGGTTCTCTCCATGCTCGCGTTTAAATCACGTCTACCTATTTACCATTGTTTCTCGCATCGTTCTCCTCCATCGTTCTCTTTTTTTTTTCTTCTTCTTTTTCACGCACGCAATGTATTTAATTATTGTTGTCTCATCCCTGTATTGTCGATTCCTTACGTCGGTTAAACCCCTCGATTTTTATTTCCTCGTTGCATGAAGGCGATGTCGGTAGTGATAGAGAAATAAAGTTGGGCTTATGCAATATACATATATATATAATATATCGTTACCATACGCTCAAAATCCGCCGATGCGCGAATAATTACGCATTACCTTTGTTATATTTATATATCTATTTATATATACATATATAATTTTTTTTCTTGTTTCTTCCCTCGCATAATATCGCACATGCACGCGTACGTTATACAAATACGTATAATACGTATGTATATAAATTAAAGATTCGTTTACGGAGCGCTATATGCTGCGATAATAAATAACACGACGAGACACGGACGCGCGTGTGCACGTGTATTACAGCATAGTCGGGATATTCTCGATTATTTATTTGACGTCAGTCTTGTGTGAGGCGGGATCGAAGCTCGCTAACGTTCCCTTTTTTCCAGCAAATCTTTTATTCCCCCTTGCCTTCTTCCCCGTCGTCAAGCCTGTTCTCTCCCACCTGACTGTCGCTACCGTTTTCCATTCGATATCATCGCGTCGATCTTCAACTTGTACTCGATCCCCCATCCATTTTTAGCCTCGCTCCCTTGTTCTTGCCACGACAATGCCTGACGTTGCATCGTCGAGCCACGCGGATCGCGTATTCCGAACCGACCAATTAACCGGCGATTAATTATCGGTCGCGAGTAGAAATCGCGCCACGTGAACTATGTACATATCCCTCCCTCGCCGGGATAAAACGAATGAGAAGAGAGAACAGAAGGAAAAGGCCGAGCGATCTCTTCTTCTTCTTCTTCTTCTTCTTCCTTCGACCAGCAACTTCTTTCTTTCCCTTTTTTTTCCCGCTCGCTCCTTCGTTTTATCGTTTGCCTAGCCACGGGGGGATCGATAGCGAGCTCGATCCGGTTGCACATGCGCGCCGAACAGACGAAACCATTGAACACGCGACTCCTTCTGGAAATCCGCTCGGTCGAGTCGCGGCGGATACGCGCGCCTCGCGTGAGTCGCAGTTCCTTCCACGGAAAACGCCCAACTTAACGAAGCTACCGAAACGGCTCGCGCTTTTCACCGGCGTGGAAGAAACGAAAGGCTGTATCAACGAAAAATGCGACTCTCTCCTTGCTCTTTTTTCCTTTTCTTTCTTCCTTTCCCTCCTCTGGCCGCAACCGGCAACTCTCCCGAACCTTCGCAACTCGCCGCGGAGTTTCGAGTTCACGGGTGAAGAGGGTTGTGGACGATAACTTTCTCGCGCGCGTTCCACCCTCGCCTCGCTTCGGCAGGAACGAAGGAAAAGCACGGCGAACGACGACTTGCGAAAACGCATTTCGAGACGACGTGCGATCCGCGAAATCGAAGCCTCGTCGATTTGATGGCCCAGAAGAACGTCTGTGAAAAAAATCACGATAAACCTGATCTGGGAAATATTTACGAAAAGGCGTCCGCCCGCGATTTCATTGATTTTTTTCAACACGTTGTCGAGTTCGTTGGCTTGAGCAAGAGTCGTGAAGAATTTTGAAAGTCGTTTATTGAAAAATTTGTTGCAAAGTACTTGATCAGAATTTAATCAGAAATGGATCGAAATCCGTTTCTAATTCAATTAATGTTAGATCCGAGTAGGGCCAGATTTTTTTCAAAGTGGAGAATTTCGTTCTACAACGTCGAAATTATTATGTGTAGAATCTTGTTTATCTCACAATTGAAACTTCAGCAAAAGAACTGTATGCAATGAATTGCAAAAAATTTGATTGAATACAGATGACTCCTTTGAATACAAAATTATGTATAATTCAATTTATTTATAATTTATAATTGAATAATATAATTATTGATAAATATGAATTATTTATAATTGAATTTTTCAATTAGTGGCAATCCTCGCGACTAAAATCGATGAAAGAGCGATTAAAATCTTCGCGATATTATTCACCCCATCAACAATCTCGACAACAAATTGAAGGATTGTCGAAATCGGAGGTGAGTGTCTTTGTGTAAATATCCATCAGATACAGAGATCGTAGAGATCCTATTCGATTTCAAGGATCGCGAACGTGCGAGCGGTTTTTTTTCTCGGACAGTTTCCAGAAGCCGAATTTCCAGAGAGGAGTCTCTCGGCAGTTCGCTGCCGTTAAACTGATATGCCAATTGTAGTTACAACTCCGGTTACGCGTTGCATCTACCTGCACGCTGCAAGTAGGTTAAGTCCCCTTGAAGCGCGGCACTCGAGGTATTACGTCTCTCTACTCTACGGAAAGTGCGCGAATGGCAGTGCTCGTCGAGAGAAAGATTTCCGTGAGATCGAGACCGCGGTTCGAGTAGCTGCGTTCGAACCGTAGACGATTTTTTTTTTTACCCGATTTTCCAATCATATTTCTCTCTTTTTCTTTTCTTCTTTTTTTTTCCTGTTTAATTGGACCGCTCGAGAATTGTGGCGCGAACAAAAAAAAAAAAAATTCTTTCCTTGCCTCGGTTGCACTCAAACTCGATCTCTCATCGTCTCCTCTTCC